GAACAGGAGGTGGTCATGAGAAACTACACACAGATCACTCTGTGAGCAACCAGGCTTGCAAATAGAACACACACCATCATTTGTCAGTCAAGAAAATACAAACCCACTTTTATTAGACCCATAAAGAGGCATGACTTTAACCATGAGCTCCACACTCAGCACTCAGGGATACATCTGGGCCAAATAAAATCAATTCTCTTACTGGGAAAAACTTCCCAGCCACACACTGCCTGTGCTTACAGGATGTTTGTTGTCTCTGTATCCCAGTTCTCTTGCCAGAGAAGCCTCAGGGTACAGAATAAAGCTTTCCTCTTGGACCAAAATAGGAGGCAAGGTTTTTTATTTTTAAAAAAAAAATTAAAACCAGCAAGTTTTCTAGTTCAAGATAATATAAAGCATCTTAAATTAATCTGTTGAAAATATTTACACTATCTGTAAACGTAAATATCTGGAACTGTACAAGTTTAAACAAATGTTCATTAGTAGAAACTGATTGATTGCTTTTCTAACCTCTCAACCAGCTGTCCTAGAGCTGTCTGGGTGGCTCCAAGGGAGGAGAAGATCCCAAGCACAAGAGGGATTACTCCAATATTTCACCCTCCACATCCTCTCCGTGCAAGGTCTGGATGAATTCAGCCACAATTCTCTACAGGGACCCTGCAGTCCTCCTGTAAAGCTTTATAAAAAACAAATATACATATATTACAATGCACTGGGCATTATTTTACAGCCTGTGTTTCTACAGAAGTAAAAAGAAAAGGTGAGTTTTCTTCCTGGTTAGTTCCTCTAGGTGATTTTCAAGGAGTAAGGGCCTGTGAGTACCATTTCTGTGCCTCAGCACCACTGCTGCAACACTTCTCCTGGGACCTTTAAATCCATCTTAGCCTCCAGCCAGGGGATTTAGGACAGAAAAAGGAAACCAAACCACCACCCATCTGCCTGGGAATTTCTATACATTTAAAACTACAGAACAGGTTTTATCAATAAGTGAAAAATCTGCCACATCTTTTTTTTTTCTCCACATTTTCTCACATTGTTCTTTTGCTGTGCTGCAAAGACTTACACACAGAGACACCCTGAAGCTGCTTGTAGTGTTTCATTCCCTTAATGGGCAAGTGTTGAGCATTCAGCTTTCTCAGAGAAGGACCAAATAATCCCTGAAATAATCCCGCCTGAACAGGGTTCTCTGTTTACCAGCCACCAAACACTCATCCTCTGTTTCTAATGCTGACTTGAGAGGCTTGCACCTTCCATTTCTGGCACCCCCACACCCCCTTATTAGTACTTATTAGTGCTTATTAGTGCTAGGACTTACTCCAGCACAAAATCTGTATGAGCTCCACTCCCAGTTCCCCCTTTCAACAACAGGACACCACCACAGGATCTTGGGTAAGGCCAAAAAAAAACAACTCTAAAATGAAGTACCTGAGAATCTCAACGCTAAGCTTTGCTGGGAAGCATCTGAAAACATCTCCAGAAGGACCCAAATTCTATTGCACAGCTTTCCATTCCAAATCCCAAGGGACTGAGATTCTTTACACAGAGGGAGGTCAGAGCAGGAAACTTCAGGTCAGACCTCACAGCTCCCAGTGCAAGAAAAACACCACGTCCAAGGTTTCAAGAAATCCTTCACATGCAGGAAATAGTTTTCCCAGCTAGGAACCTCAACTGTGTTCAAGCACAGGGTGGATCACCAGGATTTTTGGGGGAGCCATGCCAACGTGTTTGTCTCCAAGCCTTGATGCCTTTTCCAGCTCCCATTTGACTCCCCATGTTGTGTTTCCAGCCTGCCTTTGGGAGTATGGCTTTTCTCTGCACACATCAGCTGAGTCAAGGAAAGCCAGGAAGGTTTTTACATTTAAAAAAAACCCCAAAACAACAGGATTGCAACTTGGAAAACATCTGGATAAGGCAGAAACTGAGCTCCTGGAAGAGTGATCCACAAAGGGCTTTTTGTTTCCTTTCCCCTGCCCCCACTTCTCAAGCTAATGAAGAGGACAGATCTTTAACAAATCAATTAAAATGTAGGTTGGTTTTTTTAGTTTTTTTTCCCCCCTAAAACAGGGTTCAGTAGCCTGGACAGTTCTGATGCAGACTGGACTGCACAGTGGGATCCTTTTGTTTCCTTCAAGCAAATGTCTTTGCATCCCCTGAAGCTTATTCCAAGCAGCCTTTCTGCTGGGTTACTTGGACATGGATAGAAGCAAGTTCACCTGAAAGAGAAAAAAAACAAAGCCCACATCAGACAGAGCAGCCAAGTTTCAGAATTCATGTCCTATAGTTTTAACTTTTAAGCAGGATTCCCAAGAAGCAGAGTCTGAGATAAAGCAGGAGAAAACAACTGGTCAAAATTTCCACTCAAATTCCAATTCTTTCTAAACTGCAGTTGCTGACCACCCTGAGCAGTCATTTCAGCAGTCAGAACCTCCTGTGTCTCAGTTTCTAAGGGGAAATTCCCAATTTCTAAGAAGGAATTGCCAAAAATATGCACACAAAACCATGGTAACATTCCTTTAGGTACCTGAAACACACAAAATAATTGTTTCCCACAAATTACAATGGACTTTCTCATACACTTCAGTTTGTAGAAGTGATCCTAAGGGTTAACAGATAATCACTTAAAAGAAGCCACCTCCTTCCAGTGCCTCACTCCCACTCCAGGAGAGTTCTCACACATCCCACATCCACACCAGGCAACATCCTCTAATCTGTAAACTAGATTATCTGCTTAACTATTGACATCCTGGGATCATCAGGATTCCATCCACAGCCCCTGGACTATTAAGATCAAAGCAAGATTTAAAATAAAAACCTGCTTGATTTCTGACAGAGCATCCTAATGCAGAGAATTCTTCACCCAAATCATCTCTGAGACTAAAGACCTCCTCATTCCACTTCCACAAACATCTGCACTTTCCCCCAGTACCATTTACTTCAAATGAACCTTTGTAATTCTTTCTCACCCTTCCTAAATGTAAAAGTTTGGGGTTTTTTTTTGTCAAAAGAAAGATTTCCTTCACAAGCACAGGGGTTTTTTTAAAGCATATTCACTAGTTTGGATATCCCCCTGAAAAAAACAATGCCCAGAAGTGGCAAGACTCTGCTGTGAGGTTGTACCCCTCAACCCCCTGCAACAGCATCACCTTCAACTTTAACAACTTTGCTGGATAGTTATAAATAAATCAAACCAAACCCCCTTTTAGCTGAGAGCTTGGAGTTCAGACAAACCCCAGGATTAAGAGGGACAATAAATAAGGAGTCAGAACACTGAAAATACTAAAAATGAAAAAAATAATGTGTAAAAAAGCCAGTCACATGGAAGAGTCACTGATAAAACAGGGAGCTTCAATATGTACCTGTTCCATTGAAGGGCAAGCTATGATCTGGATATCTTCATCACTAAATTCTTCCTTTAATAAAGCATGGAGTTTCTGGAACATTTGCTGAATATTATTCTTTTAACAGAAAAAGACAAAACTCCATTAAAAAAACAGAACATCCCATCTCAGACATGAAGCAGAATAAGCACAACGTACATGGAAGAGCTACAGAAGTGACCAGGTAGGGAGGAGAAGTCAAGTTTTAAGAGGGAGAAGTTGCCAGGGAAGAGCTTACTTTCCAAAACAAGCCCAAAACAGCCACAAGGAAGCCACGTTGGCTGTGAGATAAAAACTTCAGCTAAGATGTGCTGAGGTGAAACACTGGAGTCCTACAGACTTAGCCTGGAGGGTTAGAACTCAAGCTTGGTTCTTTCTGGTGGGGTTACAGTGGGAAGAGGATGAACAGAACCAGTTATTTCCCTGCAGCCTGTGTGTGTTGTGTAGGCTGAGCACAACAGAGAGCAGGGGAGCTGTGTTGTGGGTTTTTAAGGTAAAAGTGTTGTTACAAAACATATTAGTAGGTTGTTTTTTCCTTTTATTTTTGATTTTCTGTCTTTTCAACAGGCTTCTCAGCCCAGGGACACCCACAGTAGCTGTTAATAGTCTGTTTGCTATGACATGTACATGGTAAGGATGAGGGGAAGTGGCCTCAAGTTGTGCCAGGGAAGAATTAGATATGAGGAAGAATTTCTTCACTGAGAGAGTGGTGAGGCACTGGAACAGGCTGCCCAGGGAGGTGGTGGAGTCACCATCCCTAGAGGGGTTCAAAAAACAAGTAGATATAGCAATTGAGGCTATGGTCTAGTGGTTAAGGAGATGTTGGGATGGAGGTTGGACCTGATGATCCTGGAGGTGCTTTCCAAGCATGTTGATTCTATGATTCTGTGGTGTTTGTCCCTGTTTACTGGGTGGCCTGGTAGCCTAGAACAACTCCCCAAACACACAGCTCTGTGTCTGCACACAGGCATCTACAAATGTGTCCAGACACACCTTTATACAGGTGAGTCTTCAACTCATAAGACTCATGATAAGTCTTCAACTAAAGGAAGGCCCAACACCTAGAGGGAAAGATGAAGGATATCTAGCAATACTCACCCTAACTGGTTTAAAGAGAATTAATTCTGTGTCTTTATTGGCCAAGTACAAGGACATGCTTCGTAACGTTGATGGCAGCTTGGTTTTTATTGTCTTGTAAGTGGCTGAGACCAGGTCGTTGATCTTGGCTGAAAATGAAAGAAAAGACACTTACCAGGCTAAAATGGTGCCCTGCTAATTGAAATCTACACTCCAGAGTGACACCTCCACCTCCCTGAGGCTGCTCATAACCCCAGGTTTAAGGGGAAGGGAAAGAGGTGAGTGGGCTGTGCAGCATCAACCCATCCTATGGCCACAACAGGCCAGACAAGGCTTTTATTTTGGGACCTATTCCAACCAATTTCTACACCCAACCCCTTTCTACAAGCTGCCACATCCTCCTGACAGTCCTGAAGCCACAGCCTTCCCAGCAGCAAAGTTCTACACAGGCTCCCCCCCTAGAAAACTTGCCTTGAAAAGAACCTGCTGGGAAATAAATAGTGCTAGCAGAGAGAAGAGCACATCCCAAATTCTCCTCAGGGAGCACAGGCTGTGTCTGGAAGAAGGTGGCAGCTGCAGAGCCATCTGGATTTTGACTCAACCAGACAGGAATCCTCTCTCAGACAAGACCTTCTTTCTTTCTTGCTAGGTGTTTTAATGATTTTACAAGATCTCTGCATAAAGGGCAAGGGGAAAATCCATTTCACAGCTTTAAAGCACCTAAGTTAACATATTAAGGGTTTTTTTTTTCTTCCTCTATTTCTACTGTATCTAAATTTTCTGCCTACTTCTCCTTCCCAAACAAATGACTCCAAGAAACAGTAGTAGCTCTGCCTCTACACACATAATTATCTCCAAACAAACATTAAAAATAACTCCTGAAGAAGCAGGAGCTGTGAAGTAGAAGCTGGAGTTAGCCCTTGAGAGTGTCTGACCCATGGAGCAGCACTGAATTATGCATGAATGTGCCTGGCTTTGCATTTTAAAGAACATGATTCAACAGAAGGTTCCAATGCATGAATTGGAATAATCAGGTTTCTCAGTGTCAGCCCAGAAGCACAACTTTGTAATGTGAAGAGCAAAACAACCCAGGAACATGTAAACTAAATGTTCCTACAAAACATTCACAGCTGAGTTCTTAAGAAGAGGGAAGCAAAGCCATATCCCATTTTTTTGGATAGTGACAGGAAAACTGAGAAAGAAACAGGTACCAAATGAATTTACATTGAAGCTTTTATTGCCTGGGCATTTTTTTCCCCCCCAAAAGCAAAAATCTTCATCTCAATCAAATAGTTCCTCAAGCACATTCCCTGTGCAGTTGTGGAAATGTCCTTTTCATGCAAGAACAGCCCCAGCTTGAGAGATCCTCAAGTCATTAAATACATACCCTGAAGTTTGTCAGGTTTGGATTTAGAGGTACCTTAAGACATTTAAACTACCACACAAGTAAAACCAGAAGCCAGGATTTTCAAGAAAAGGAGAGTTCTTAGGTACTTAATTGTACCAAATCAATCCCAGCCTGACAATCCAAATTACTCTGGCCAGCTTTTCAGATTCCTGTGTTTTGGGAAGCCAGGCACAGAGACAAATGACATCCTGAAATACTTCAGCCCTATATAAAGCAGCTTATATGGCTCTACCAAAAAATGGTGAATGGAAAGGGTCTTTTTCTCCATCTGAGGAGGAATTTTTAGACCAAGCCTCAAAGTAGTAAGAGATCATGGCTTGATTAGCCTACAAGCAGCTCAGAGGCAGCATGATTATAAAACAAAGCAGATACCTGGTTGTGCCCAAGGTTGCTGTGAAAGGCTGTACTTGGGACCTCCCTGGGTGGCCATGGTTTTTAAAGCAGCTACCTGAAACAAATAAAATCAACAAAATGATGTTTCTTTCAGCTGGAGTCACAACAAAGGCACCAAATAATTGTGCAAGTCTCTGAGATCCTGCAGTGTGCAGCATTTCCCCTCCTCTCTCTTCTGTGCCCTGACTTGGGGACACACAGGGCACACAGCCTGATAGAAAAGGGATTTAAAATGACAACCATGATTGCTAGTGGAAAGTAAAATTCAAAATGGGATTAAAATTAAGCACTTCAGGATACAAAACCTCAAGAGAGATTTCTCCTTAAGCAGGTTAATCAAACTCCCCAGATTCCCAGTGAATCACTGGGATCACTTGGACAATCTATCACTCTTACCAGCCACCCTTCTATATTTTCAGCATGCTCCTCACCCCAGCATGGCAACCACAAGTGAATTTAATACTGAAATCTTTCTAAATCCTCCAAAAGCAGCAGCTGAGCTATTTGCTCATCATTCTGACCAACTTTTACCAGATATTTCTGTCCCAAAAAGGACCTGGGAGGAAATTCCTGCTCAGCAAGCACCACACTGGTGTAAAATATGCCAAGAACAGAAAATTTTACCACACTTCATGGCCACACTTTAAGAGCTCCCTGAAGAACACACAGGACCTCAGATTTCTCATTTTGAAGGCTTAAAGATTCAGTCAAGGTGGTTTTCCTCCAAGCTCCTGCCAACTTTCACAGACCTTTTTCAACACAAAGAAGCATGAAAGCTTCTTGATCTAAGAGCAGAAGGGTTGTTTTTACCAACAAAACTCCATCATGTTCCTTTATTCACCTCAAAAATGCCTCAAAAAACTGTTGTTGGAACTTAAAAGGGAAGCATGACCTTAAAATGGGAAATGCCATCATCTTCAACTCATCAGACAGGACCAGCAGCTCCTCCTAGACCAAATTTAACCAGCAATACCCTCAGCCTGGCAGGATTTGGGACATGTTAGCACACACACCACACATCCTGTACCTTTGCCAGGAACTCCTCCAGCTGCTGGATGAACTGTTTGGTTTGCTGCTGAATAAACTGCTCACAGGCTGATTTCAGGTGGCGATCCACGTCCTTCTTAGAGTCAATGTAATGCTCTCTGATTTCTGGAGTCCCCTGGAAGAGAAGACAACAATTCCCTCTTTATTTTATCTGCCAGGGATCACCACCCCATTTTTCTGACTGCAATATTCCTCCCCATTACCTCCAGTAAGAACTGGATCAAGGCGTTGTTGCTGTTGAGTCTGAAAAATCTTGACACTGCCTTTGGGTTCAGGATTTTAAAGGCTGCATCTGTGAATCAAGAGAGTCACTCATTCTGTGAGGCAATGGCATCCAGCTCCAGGCATTAAAAGACTTGAATCACTCCTCCACACATAAAAAAATGGCTTAGCATGATTAAGACTGTGACATCAATGACTCCCAGTAGTGCTAGGTGTGGATGCACAGGCCCAGAAGCACACCAAGCATGGTCCACTGGTTTTTAATTGCACTTAACAATTAATTAATTAACCCAAACCTAAAAATTGCATGGTATAAACAGATAAATGTACAACACAAACCTAACAAATGACTGCTAGTAGCTGTAGTGCTATCAGCACATACATGGTGTGAGCTCCTTCTGGAATTGTGTCTACAAGTGAAAGATTTTTACAGAATTTAAGTTAGATTTGGGTCCCACAGTGTAAGAAAGAGAATGAGGGGCTGGAGTGTGTCCAGAAAAGGGCAATGGAGCTGGTGAAGGGTCTGGGGAACAGGGCTTGTGAGGGGCACCTGAGGGAACTGGGATTGTTTAGTCTGGAGATGGAGAGGCTTAGGAGAGACCTTACTGCTCCCTACAACTCCCTGGAAGGAGGCTGCAGCAAGGTGGGTGTCAGTCTCTTCTCCTAACTACTGACAGGACAAGAGGAAATGGGCTCAAGTTGCACCAGGGGAGGTTTAGATTGGGTATTAGGAAGGATTTGTTTCCTGAAAGAGTGGTGAGGCACTGGAACAGGCTGCCCAGGGAGACCCTGGAGGTGTTAAAACCAAAATTTTTAAAACAATGTGTAGATGTGGCACTTTGGGACACAGTTTAGTGGTCGTGGCAGTCATTCATAGACATAAGAGTCACAGAAGTGCTGCCAGAGGCAGTAAAGAGGGGATACCAGACATGCAGGCATGTAGGTTTTGCACTGAATGAAGAATTTCCACCTCTATGTAGTTAAAGGGGACCACAGAGAAAGATTCATTTTATTATCTGACTTATTTCCCAGAAACTTCACTGATTCCACAAAGACCTCAAGATCTTTATTAGGAGCTTATAAACTAGTCAGTGAAAGTCACTGCTCCCCATTGCACACTTCAGCTACATGAACCTTAGCATTATATTACATTTAAGACTAAAAATTGGGCAGAAGCATTTCTTTTACATCAAGCAGTGTCCCTTTGTCTATAAATCCCAAATCTTCAATCTATGTGCAGCAAGCTTGGCTAGAACACAGTAAAGCTCCTTTCAGCCCTGTCATTTTCCTTCCACAACTAACCCCAAATATCAAAGCCCTACCACCCTATGCCACTCTGCAGGAAGAATTAAGCACAATGTACATCTTTTCAACACCACCCAACAGAAAGAAAGTGTTTTCCATTACTTACCACATCTGCAAAGCACTGGCTGGCACAAAAATTTATTCAGTTCAATGAAGATGGAGAACAAACTTGTGTGTCAGCCAGGACAAGACACCAAAAGGATGTATTTGCCCTTTAACCTCCAGTCAACTAGAAACTACTCAACAGGTAGGAGGTTTCCTTGATGTTCAAATGCAAGAGGTGAAGTGGTTAGTTTAAGAATTGCTTGGTTCAGAGTTAAGACAGCAGCTTGTTAGATGGTAGGAGAGAAAAGACATTTCTTCAGCTTTCTCTTCTGGGATGGAAGGAAAGAAACTTGACATGCTTCCAATGATCTTCACCACTCTCTTTAGAAGCTTGACAAGTGCATGACAGTTCACTTTGGTATTGAGAGGGGGGTTTTCTGCATTTTACAAAGGAATCATAGCACAATTTTAAAAGTCATGACTTAGCCACTACTCTCTTTGTCCAACAGACACAGCTGCTATATAAACTACTCAACAAGGCTGTTTATTGAACTTAAGACCTTTTCCAAAACAAAATACCACAGAAAGGTCTAAGAAATCTTAATTTCTTCTAGGCAAGTCAACTGTGCATTGTTAAATTCACCTGCTCAACAGCAGTACCAAAAGCTATTCCTTAAAGGGTCAGAGAAGGGAAAAGACACCTCTGTGCAGCAGAAATGTAGATTGCTTAGCTCTTCTTCCAAAGGACTGAAGAAAGAAGTTAGGGCAGCAGCAAAAAGCAGTCAAATGCATTTCATACAGAAATGAAGAGCTTGTTAGACACATCTTGAGTCGTGGTGAGTAAGAGAATCCTTTTGCCTTTTTTTCCAGAGATGAACAAGCAAGAGATTAGAACAGGCACACAGGTCATTGCAAGTGAACATAAAATAAACCCAAAACTCTGCTGGCACATGAAGGGAGGATAATCCCATCCCAGTCTGTAGCCAGCAACTGTTTAGTACCTCTAGTTTTCTTAAGGTCCAGGGAAATTTCCTTAATGGTGAAATCAGTGTGGAAAGGAGCGATTTGTTCACGGAGGATCAAAAGATGTTTGATTAAGAAAAGCTGTCCATCAACCTGGGTCTACAGCACAACAAGAGAAAGAACATGCATGACATTTCATTTCTTGGTTTTTTTGGATTACAAGGGCAAAGTTTCAACCCCTCCACTTTTATCAGTAGCTTCCTGTAACAATATTAACACTAATAATCTTATTAATGAGCTTTTGCCATGAGTCTGTAGTGCTATTAACTACACTCTGGGGCCAACAAATTCCACTTCTGTACTGTTCCTAACATGTTGCTTTATAAAAGGAGACTTGATTCATATTTCTCTGAAGAATTAGATCACAAAATTAGATCACATTAAGTACAGGTATCCCTTATTTCAAAGATACAAACCACTTCTTCCTAAGAGCCAGGAATTGGTAATATATATAATACTT